CAAGTTTATTTTGCGCTCTAATTATAACATTTTTTTGTCAATAACTGGAAAAATTTTAGATAGTAAAACCATCAGAAATGCGCGTTCGAAACGGGAAAAAACTTGAGAATTTTGTTTCAGTTTCGTCTGAATTTAAATTTAGTGGGGTAATTTTTTTCAATTTTTTTATTTGCATTTTTAATTTCTTTTGTGTGGTTTTTACGATTTTCATGACATTTGAAATCGATCGCATTTACTCAAAATGCAGTTTTTATCGAGTTTATGCATTGCTTTTTTGGATTACATTAAATAGCAAAATAATTGTTAAATTTATTGTATGTAGAGTAAGTTCAAAGGAGAAAAAGTGAAAAAAGTGCGTCAATAGGCCGATTAAATAAAAATTAAATTGAAAATGAGAATGGAAATGGAAATACATATAAAATTAAGAGAAAATAATATTTGCAATTCCTAAACTCATCTCAAAGTTTTCTTCAAATATACAGGAAAAGAATAAAATTATTTTTAAATAGAGCGCCCTAGAAAAAAAGTGACTTTTTTATGCCGCCAAGATTCAACGGAGTTCGTTTACTTCGCTTTTAAGAGTGCAGATACGGAAATGTATGGAAACATTAATTATAGCGTTAGTCTAAATAGAAAAACGAAATAAAAAAAATTTATATGAACCGAAAATTAACCCACACGCGTTTAACGGGATCAAATGCAGAAATTAATTGAAAAATTAATTATAGTGAAAGTTGGAGAGAAATTAAAGCGGAAACCCGAAGAAAGAATTGCATAATTAAAAAATGTTCTCTTCATTCTCTTCTTGTTCGATCGGCAGTTAAACCTGCTTAGAAGTTACTTTTTGTACCACCCTGTTATATCGGAGTACGTTTGCTTTGCATTTAGCAAGTAATACACTCATTTAAGGGCTGAAATACAGACATTAAATGACAATTTAATTATCGCGAAACTTAGAAAGAAATTAAATTTGAAAGACGAAGAGAAAATTACATAAACCAAAAATGTTATCTTCTTAATCGATAGTTAAACGACCTAAAGTTAATTTGTTGGACCACCCTGTTACGACTGAGTACGTTTACTTCGCATTCAGCAACTAATCCACCCATTAAAGCTTCAATTACAGAAACACATTATGAAATTTGTTTAATAATCGATTAAAAACCGGAACGAAAATAAGGGGAAAATTAAAAATTAGATAGAATAATAGAGCGCACTATTATTCGAAAGTTATAAGTTAGTTTTCGGGACCACCCTATATAACTACGTCCGTTTACTTCGGTGTTAGCAATTAATTTACACAGTTGCAGTTGCAGAAACACATTTTGAGTGAAACACAATTTTTTGAGTTTTTGCGAATCAGAATCGGCCACATTTCGCATGAAAAATGTACAGGAATTTGTAATATAAAGTGTTTTCTAACCGTGCACACTATTATTCAATGGTTAAAGGAGCTAAATTATTTTTTTGAGCTGCTCTATTGCAAGTTGAGTACATTCACTTCGCATTTACGACAGAACTTTGAAAGGAAAAAACAGAGAGGAATTTGCGAAAAGTACATAATAAAATACTACAGCAAATCTTAAATCTCAAAGACCACTTAAATCCGTGGTTCTGATTGGAATAAGACGTTGTAAGTTCGAGAAACTCAATTTCAAAAATCTCCCTGTATATTAGTTGACACTATTTCAATTTGTTGCGTTGAGCTTTTGGAACTCAAATTGCTAGCAGAAAGTTTAATAATTTGTTTTTTTTTTTTCAGGTAATGGACCAACCGCTGGACTTGCGAGTGAACCGATCGCCAGTTGATATTGGGCGTGTGAGCAACATGATGGGCAATCCTTATCCAATGCCTATAGTTCCGCAAGTTTGGACAAGTCAATTTATAACTCAACCAATTTCCAACTCAAATCAGCCTTTCAACATTCGGTGCTGGCCCTGTCATCAGAGCAGTTGTTACTCTGTACAGCAGCCAAAATATTCACCGTATGAGCAAGGGCTGCCCAAGGAACAAATCAAACCTACATTACTAGAAGTAACAAGTGCGAAATTTCCAAAGTTTGACTTTCAACATGTGGGAAATAATTTTGTTAATGATGACAAAATGCCCAACACCCTGGATAGAAAAAGGTCTGTACCGGAACGGATTGGACCTCGAAAATTCATCGGATTATCAGATTATTCGATGCACTCTATACTATCGATGGGCTATTCAGTAGATGCGGAAAACTCATTTAACTGTGAGACCGGAACCCGCACAACGCCAAAACGCAGACAAGCCAGTAGCAGCGACTCATGCGAAAGCTTTGAACTGCACAACTCAATTCGGGGCACTGTACCGCAATGTTCCAATATCACAATTATCATTGATAAGAAATATATGAAGGATTTTGAATTTGCTGATGAACAAGAACACCACTTGTATCTCCTGGCTAAAAAAAATCCTCTTCTCATAGTGAAAATGCTGGATCCCAAAGACGCAGAAGCGTACAGGCGCTTCAAGCAACACTATGGGGACATGACTCCGCGCACAAAAACGAATGTGAATATGCGCCGAAAAGTGCCGACAAAATCACCACATTCGAATGATCCGGATTACACTATTAAACGCCTGAAGAACAACGAATCAGCTAAGCGATCCAGAGACAATCGAATAGCGATGAGCCATGAAATGGAGCTATTGGATATGTTTCTCAAACAAACAATAGAGGAAAAGACCAGACGACTTCAAACCATGTCACATGCCCAAAACCAACCATTCGTTTATTAAGTGCGCTTAAATCCTTATAATTTGTTATTTATCAAAAGTATATTTGTTGTTTTGTACATTTTTTTATGTGTTAAAAACGATTTGCACAAACAGGGTGTAAGTATTTTAAGGCGTTTGTTACGAGAAAAAAATAGATATAGTTCGTCGGAAAATGCAGTTTCTAATGTTTTTCTCCTGTACTTTTTTCACAACACAAATATCCTTTAATGACTTGTCGCCCGTTGAAATGCATATTGGCTACCTACAGTTTTTCAAACACCTTTCAAAGAAGCCATTCCTTAAAACTGGAAAGCAAACACGTGTGGCCTGCATCTTCAGAAGTACTTTGCTCAGCGCTGCAACCAAAACTCACTGAAAATGTTATCCATGAGTGCCACCTTTAGAACCAAATTCCCAAAGACGACGATCCAGTAACTCGAAAACTTGCAAGTTTTCAAACGGTGGAATCCATGAAAAACACTTTTCAATGGATAACTTCACGAAAAACATTGATTGATGGTAATAAACCATACCTCAATAAGCGAACAAGTCGCTCTTAGATCCTAAAGCCTACTTTAACTAAACTGCTTTTGGCGCTGTAGAAACAAAAAGAAACCAGAAAGGTAAATGTCTACATAAAATCAGTGGCGTCTCAGAAAAAATCTGAGGGTATAAAAAACTGGGACAAAAAAACCAACACTTCCTTTAGTAAGGTAATCGATTTTTCAAACTTATACCCTTAAAACAGCAGAAATTACCTGTGTTAAAACATCAACGGCGTCAAACCCCCACTTACCTTACACTCCACGTGTGTCTATAGCGGTATTTACAAATATGTAATAGATAAATTAAGCCAAACATTTACAACGCTGCACACTGTTTCGACTCGGCGAATTTGCGCATTCTGTCCTCAAGTTCGGGCCTAAAGTGGCGAATGAGGCCCTGAACTGGCCAGGCGGCTCCATCGGCTAACGCGCAAATGGATCGGCCCTCAATTTGCTTGCTGATTTCCCAAAGCATGTCGATTTCCTCGGGTTTGGCATTGCCGTCCACGAATCTGTAGATCATCTTGTTCATCCAGTTTACACCTGCAAAATGTTTGCGATTACTAAACGAGTTTATAGTCAAATAAAGTGGTTCTACCTTCACGGCAAGGGGTGCACTGTCCGCAGGACTCGTGCTTGTAGAACATAATCAGACGAGCAATCGCTTTAACGATGTCGGTTTGTTTATTCATGACTATGAGGGCGGCGGTACCTAAACTGGTTTGGGCAGCTACCAGGCCGTCAAAGTCCATCAGAACATCCTCGCAAACGCTAGGGAAAAACGCTTCAATTTCACTGCGCAAAAACAAGTGTGGAAATTAAAACCTCTTGGGGATCAAAGGCGTGGAAGAACCGCCGGGAATAATTGCCAGCAAATTATCCCAACCGCCCTGCACTCCTCCTGCATGAATTTCCACTAACTCCTTCAACGGAATGCTCATCTCCTCCTCAACTGTGCAGGGCCTGTTCACGTGTCCAGAAATATTAAATAGCTTCGTACCGGAATTTCTGGTGCGGCCAAAGGAGGCAAACCATGGACCTCCCCTTCGGCAGATTGACTAGAATTCCAAAAAGTTTCCTTAATTCTCCTCTTCATTATTTAATTGATAGGACCTACCGGTGATACTGCAATGGTTTCCACATTATTCACGGTAGTTGGGCAGCCGAAAACGCCCACATCAGCAGGAAATGGGGGCTTTAGACGCGGTTTGCCCTGCTTGCCTTCAATGGACTCAATCAGGGCGGTTTCCTCGCCGCAAATGTACGCGCCTGCACCGCGATGCATAAACACATCAAAATCGTACCCGGAGCCACAGGCATTTTTACCCAGAAAACCCGCTTGGTATGCCTGGAAATTAACGAATTTACTGAAAACTAAAGCTCGGCTTTTTGAGCTAATTAATCTCACCTCAGCAATGGCCACTTGCATGTTAGAGGCCTCATTGTAAAACTCTCCGCGGATATAAATATAGGCAGCCTTGGCCCCAATAGCCCTGCCAGCAATGAGGCAGCCTTCGACTAGCTTGTGCGGATCATGTCGCATAATTTCTCGGTCTTTGCACGTTCCTGGCTCTCCTTCATCGGCATTTACCACCAGGTATTTGGGACGACCATCTCCTGGTCTGTTCATAAAGGACCATTTCATTCCCGTAGGGAAACCGGCGCCGCCCCGACCTCTCAGTCCGGATGTTTTCAATTCGTCTAAGGATTTTCTGAATTAGTTTTATTTAGAGTCTTCTTAGTGGCTGTTTTGAAAACTTGAAAACAATGAAACTAGCATTCAAATGAAGTGTCTTCTATAATGTGGCAAAGTTTCTAGTGGCCTGCTCCTGTTTGAAAATTATAATGTTCTTAAAGATATTCGTGCTGAGAAACATTTGAAATCTTGCAAAATCTCAACCTGCCGTACGGTTTAGAATGAAATTTTCCGCATTTAAAAATGGAAGCTCCTTCTATTATATGGACAAATTTCAAGTAGCCCCTTGATCACGTTTGTAAGTTAGAATTTTAGAAGAGAACGCAAACATGCAACTGCAAACCAGCCGCAGTCCATTAATCCAGAAAATTACTCATTAGCCTTGAAGAAAACAACCACCCCTTCTATATTTGCTCTAAATGTACTTACTAACTATCCAATCGGAGCCTTTCAATAAAATCTCCTTGGTTTTATACCAGTCACCGCGCTTCATTGCGCCTTTAAGCCGCCAGTCATGTCTGCCATACAAATTGGTGAACACTCGATCTTCATCTGCTAGAGGTCCAAAGCTAGTTTTCGTTTGCGGTGGCGGTGTACCTGGAGGCGGCCCAGACGAGAGGCCTCTAAGATTGAGGATGGTGGCTGGATATCCTAATTAACCAAAACAAAAAAAACATATTCAAACATAGTTGATTATTTGGTATACCGATTATTTTTCTTCAGATATAGCCATTATTAGAGGCCCAGTCTCCCAATATGTGTATTGAAAAATCACTCAACAAGATGTAATCAGTGTTAGGTTAAGTAATTCCTCAAAATCGCAGTGATTACTGATTATATAAAGGTAAATAAAATTGGCCAGGCATTATGGGATTCCTGGGGCTCCCTTTGCCTGAGAACTGTGCAAAAATCCCCAGTAAACGGGGGTGAAATAAGCTCAATTATGTAATGAAATAGGTTTGAAAATGCACCCCAATTAATCCATTAAATTCATGTCATGGGACACGACTAAAAGATCGTGGAATTTACCATATTTGGATAAAATTATCCTGGATACGATCCTACTTGCCATATCGGAAATCCACCAAAAAGTGCACAGTTTTTAAAGGTTTTTTCCCAAATATCCAAACACCATCGAAAGAAAAACGTCAAACCCAGACAGATGACAACAAACAGTCAGACAGCTTCTTCTTTATGCATCACAACCATGCACCTGAGAGAAGATGTGCGGTTATAAAATCGGCGTTTAACCTAAAAAGTAAGTGCAAAAGGTTCCAAACAAATTTAATTCTTTGTTTGAAAGCAACTAGACTCAACATTTCACTGCAAACCCGGCGATAAGTGTGTGAATAGAAGCACGACATGGTTTAAGTCAAGGTGCCTCCTGTAATGCCACTTTTAAGCCCGCCAGCTAAGTTCTATGCTAAAACTATCAAGTGCGCCCTAATTTGCATCTGCACGGGTTTTGCATGCAAGCTCTATATCTCGAAGAGCTAGTTGGAGCGCTATGGACGATTTCGTAGATGATTGGCTATGCTACAACTCCATTCTAGGAGAAGGGGCCTATGGCGAGGTGCGCCTTCTAGTGCACAAGAAGAGTGAGGAGAAAATCGCGTGCAAAATCATCGACCATGCCAAATACGCCGATGCTAAAACAAGCATCGCTCGCGAAGTGCTCATACACAGTATGCTGGAGCATCCCAACATCATTAAGTACTTTGGCAAACGCCAGGAACCGCAAAAGGAGTACATTTTTTTAGAGTACGCAGCCGGAGGCGAGCTGTTTCAGATGATCGAGCCCGACATCGGCATGCCCTCACGAGACGCTCAGTCTTTCATGAAACACCTCCTGTGCGGCGTTGATTATTTGCACAAAAAGGGCGTCGTCCACAGAGACATCAAGCCGGAGAACCTGCTGGTTGATGGAACGGGAGTGCTGAAAATCAGCGATTTTGGCCTAGCCACGATTTTCCGAATGAAAGGCCGCGAGAGGAAGTTGGATAAACACTGCGGCACCAAACCGTACATGGCGCCGGAAATCTTAAAACGGCCATATTTAGCCCGGCCCGCTGACTTGTGGAGCTGCGGAATTGTGCTAGTCGCTATGTTGACTGGAGAACTTCCATGGTCGGATACGACTGATAAAAACGAGGAGTTTGCCAAATGGTGCTCAGATAATTACCTATCAGAGACGCCCTGGTCCAAACTGGGAAACACTGCTTTAAGCCTAGCCAGGCAGATCTTAGCTGAAGACTCCACTAAACGACTCACCTTGGACCAGATCCTTAAGCACCCGTGGATGAGGCTGGACTTTGGAAATAGCGAATCCTCCTCTGAAGAAGTGGACAGTCCAAGCAACCAGTCCAGAAAGCGCTGGAACTCTATGATAGAATCCGAAACTAAACACAACCGCGAGACCCCGCAAGTCACCCTTTCCCAGCCTGCAACATCACTGAGTTCACACAGCATTGATCAACTGATCAACAATATTAAAACAATCAAGAAAAGGGATTCGATCTGCTTCTCCCAACCCACGCGAAATGATGATGTTATTTTACAGTTTACTCAAACGCCCATCACCAAGGAAAACTTCCACAAGTTGGTGAAGAGAATGACACGATTCTATGTTAAGTGCTCGCTTGAGAAAGCACTGGAGTGTTTGCGCACTGCTCTGGATAGTTTGCACTATCCCTGGAGCATGGATGCGGCTGGAACCGTGACTATTTCAACAGTGGATCTGCAGAAGAATCAACTGATCTTCAAAACGAATCTCATTCAAATGGACGACAAAATTCTCATGGATTTCCGACTGGCCAAAGGCTGTGGTTTAGAGTTTAAGAAAAAGTTCCTAAAACTGAAAAATGCTCTATCGGGAATTATTGAGAAGCCCGAAACGTCGCCCCCCAGTTCAGATTGATTTCAACTGGATATCAGTATTAAAATTAAATCGTGTTATCACATGTGCTTACTCGTTAATATTGTATGTATTATGTTTAGCTTAAGTTTTACAGACATCGTCGATTAGTCAGTCAAGTATTTTTCTACCGTTGTTAAATTAACTATGTATTTTATTGTGTATATAATACAGTGTTTTTTCATAACTACTGTTGTAATTTAGTGCTAAATAAACGACATTTTCTATTTTATCTGCATGGTTTTGCCAATTGAAAAACCACTAGTATTCAAACTGGAAATTAATCGATTTTCTGGGTAAATGTCTGCTGGCGCTGTTTCAGGATGAAAATTTGAGTACTCGAATATTGTATTAAGTATTTTCTATAACGTGCGAAAGTTTGTAGAAACTGCATGGTTTCGTTGGGAAATTTTCACATACACTCTGGCCGAGTAACAATTAGTAGCTTTGCGTGCGCATTTGAAAATCTGCAGAACAATCTGGTGTTGTTTTAGAACGAAACGCGGGTTCTTAGATGTGTCTTCTCTAGTGTTCGAGAGATTCAAGTAACTACCCGATATTCTTTTGAAGCGACAATAAAATAAGAAGTAAATTCCCAAACTTTCATTAAAACTCGTACAATCATCTTTGCATTGCCTGGACTTGCTCCTTTACATCTTCCAAATGGCCGGCCCGCCGCTGCAAAGCCTCCTGTTGCACTCCTAAGTGGGCGCAGAGCAGTTGCAGCCTTTTCAAATTATTCTCCGAATTTTCCACCAATATTTCTTGAACAGCGAAATTTCGGGCAGAGTGCATCAGAATCTGAAAACCGGTGTGTCAAGCCAAATAGTCCCTCATAACTAAACTCCACTCCTAAATTACCTCTTGACTCTTGGAGCCCCTAGTTATCTGTCGGGCCACTGCAGCAATATTATTTACATTCACCTGCACTCTATCAGCTAATCGTGTTTTGGAGTCTTGAAAAAGGGAGCGCGCTGAAGTACTGCTTGCTGATGCCATGAATATTTTATATATTTAAATATTATTTTTCTTAAATTATATCCTTGACAGTTTTGGTAATGTTTGTCAACAATAAAATGCCTAGTGGCTTAGGTTGGTGTCAGAGTACTCTTCTTCGGTAGAAAAATGAAATTTTTAAATTCCAGCGAGCAATTATCTTTGTTGGATATAGCCCCAGGGAGTGAGAGCGAGATAGGTGTAAAACGTCATGCAAATATTTCAAAATATTAATTTGGCCCATAACCTTGCAATCTGTTGTCAGATAGAAAATATAAAATACTTAAATTATTGTTAAATTGCGAGGCAATGACTGAAGTGGATGTGTTTATCAGCAACTACACTCTTGTGGATCCCGAAATATTCCAGCTTTGGATAGAAGGCCATACAGGTATGCTGACTTTAGTACCTATTTCAGACGGTGCAAAGATAAATTATTTTACATGAAAATGAACTAATCCAGCCTTATCCAGCCAAACCTGCAATATTCACCTCTACCACATCACTCAGATTATAAAAGGACAATCAAAATACTAAAAAATTAATGAAAAAAGCTTTTTCTTTAAGCTACGGAAGCTGTGGCAATTCTGGACAAAAAGGGCCTGGGCAAGCAGACAGGTGCCTCCCTTGAGCTGATAGCAAGCGACGTATTAGACCACTACCGCACTTACTCTTTGCTGGAAAAACTCCTGATCAATCCCAACAAACTACAAGAACAACTGGCTTTCCAAATCGAGCCACGAACGCGTCAGATGCTAATAGAAAAGTACTATGAGTTTGATGATGATGTTGTTAGGGAGCTGTTGGGGAAGAAACTCAGTTCGAAAAACCGCAAAGACTTAGATGAGGTGTCGGAGAAAACTGGAAAGCCTCTAAAGTCATGCAGGTGAAACTCTGTGAGCACTAGATGTGGATTTCTCTAATACAACTTTTTGTAGGAGGCAGTTTGATAACATTAAAAGAGTCTACAAGATGGTGGAGGAGATTCCAGGCTCTATAATGGAGAATATAAAGAGCTCGTTCTACGTATCGGATGATTTAGCCAGGAAATATGCCAGCATAGTGTTTCTAGCGGCTATTCGGTTTGAAACTTCAAAAAAAGTAAGTGTTGAGATAATGAGAGCGATGGAAAGAATTGAGTTAAATCTGTCGAAGGCATTTGCGTCTTAAAGTTGTAAAAATTGTATTCAAATCGCTGCAAATCCTAAATTTTACCGTGACAGGCTTAAAGTGATCGTTTCCACACAATTGCACATTTTACTTAAAAAATCGCAATATCCAGTACGGAGCGATTAGGAACTTGATACTTTCACAATCTATTGAAGACTGCCCAGTCTTGAAATCGTGGAACTTTACTTTCTGTCGCATCGCTTCAAATCCTGATTTTGGCGGTCTTAGTAAAAGTCAGGCAAAAAAGCGTTCAAGTCGCTCCATATTCCGATTTTTTCGCCGTAGTAAAAGTTGACCTAAAATTTAGCGTTTCTACTCAACTGCATTGCAGAAGCATGAACATTAATTATTGGGAAGCAATTCGATTATTCCCATCACCAAAGTTGAAGCACCTGCATAATTTCATTCTTAAATTACTGTTCAAGTAGAAACTGAACACCATGACTTTTCCGGCTTGGAAGCGATGTTGCGAGGCAATAATGGTGCAATGGACTTACAAACTCACTGGGCCTGAGTATTACGACACTGAAATGGACAAAGAGTTCTTGTTGGAACTGCGGGAACTGAAAGTTTTGCTGGATAGAGAAAAGGAACACAAACAGTGAGAAAACTTTTGAAAGTCAGGCGGTCGATTGGTTCCAATGAGATGTTCCAGGTTGGTTTGCATCACACTCAAGCCCATGCTGCTCCAGAAAAGCTACTTGGAACTGGATGCGAATTTCAGGAAATATACTGGAGCCATAATCACGCTGGCTGCAACCCTTCATCGGTCCAGAGACATGAAAAATTTATTCGTGGAGTTTTCGCTTATTTTGGACTTGTTCAGGACGGGCAATTGGACTTCACATGATTTGCAGCAGTTTTTCAACGCCTATAGCTCGTGTGCGGGGGAACTGGATGTGCTCAGGTGAGGGAAAATTTAAATGTCTTTCAAACAGTTGATGTATTGGAGATTTTTTAGAAATGACTCAGGACTGAAAAGTTGTTGGGAGAAATTCATGAGCGTCGTGGGGGTTTGCATGGTCGTAATGTATTCCCCGCCCTAATTAGAGTTTTTTATATTCCATTTTAAAATTTTCTTCTGTTGGCGCTAATAGAGTTTACTGTAACTTGTTTTCAACAATTGGCCTCCAAGTGGTCAAGATATTTACATAATCCAATCCTCAACTGCTTCTCTATTTTGTTTCACATCCTGTCAAATATATTTAGTGATTTTTTAAATAAAACGAGCTTCTATAAGAATTTGTATGGGCTTTTGCAAAAAACTCCACAAATTAACGGTTTGGTCAAAAAAACCTTTTTAGACACTGCACCAGTGGTACCGCATTTAAAAAATATGCGATCTTGCAACGGCTTTACATGGAACGATTTTTGCAAATTTTTTACCAGCATTCTGTATGAATTTGAGAAAACCTAACTAGAGGTAAAAATGAGAACATTTCATACAGAAAGTGGGCGTTAACAAAGAAAAAGGATGCATGATAAACAGGCTGTTTTCGCTTCGGATTCATAGGTGGCACTGGTAATATTATTCATTCAATTTCAAACTGGTGCAAAAAAGCATTCTCTTACCGCTTTCTACACATTTCTAGTCGATTGATGGGCTTTAACTGTACAATTTAGTAAAAAACAGCATTTCTGATGCTCACTGTCTCTCTGTAAAGGTCATTTTGACAAGCGACAACTATCCGGAAATGGCTAAGTTTGACATGAACTGCCACCACAGACAAGCACTTGTCTCTGCTGATACATTCAAAATGTCAGGATTGAAAGTAGGCCTACACCCCATAATTTTAACGATATTTATCATAAAACACGCTGTAAATAGCGGTCGATTCATCTGAATATAACTCGGTGGTTAAACAGCGGCTGAATGATCTTAAATGGGCCTAATTATTTATTTGTCATCTCGAATTATGCGCCCCCAAGGCCATTGCGATGGGTGGGATTGAAGGATGATCAAGGCGCTCCTGACGTCAGTGCCCCGCTGCCAAAATGTTCAGATTTTCTGACTTTCAGGTGAGCGTTTTAAATTGTTTTTCCAACTTACTTGCCTTTGTCATGTTCTAACTGGTCAACGTTACTGTTGAGTGAATGCAAGGTAAGAGGAAAGTTTTTTTTATGAAATATAGTGCAAAAGCTTGGGAGTTTTTTGAATTGCGGCTCAAGTGGGTGAGGATCTGAAGCAAAGCATGAACGAAGTCTGGCCACAGCGTGCGGAAAATGGCCGCAGCATAATTTCCACTGACTGCTTTTTATTTATTTTTTGCCAAAAAACTACGTTAATGTTTTAATTGTATTTGCGACAAGGGCTTGGGTAAGAGCAAAGACATGTTTTCTTTATAATGTGTGGTTGTTGGTAATTGCGTTGCGCCTATTAACCTGCCTGTTCAGTGTTTATTTATGGCTGCGAATGGTCAGGGTTGAAAGCTATTTTAAAGCCCGATTGCGAATCTATTTAATTCGAATTGACGAATTCCACGAGCCTCTACAGCCCAAACAAAAGAATAGACAACAAAACAAATTCGATTATCTTGTCGGGGCCTGCTGCGTTGAAGGTGCTATTTTTAGCCCATTACTTTTATTCCAATTAAATGTGACATATTTTTGAAAACAGCCAGAAAGCGGCTATTTTTACCACAGTGAGAGCGGGTTTTCACTTTTCTTTTGGTTTTTCAGCGCCACACTGACGACATGGTTTACGAAAAATCCCACTAAATAAGGTCAATTTTGCACTATTGGTTATCATCGAAGTTGATCTGTCCCATCCATATTAGCCACTTCATCTGTTCACAATGCCCGTTCTGAGTCCACATAGAAGTTCCTCGTCAGGACTGTCGGGCTCCTATCGGCCCACATACAGTTCAGCTCTAGATCGCCCTTATTACTCTAGTTCTGGCTACTCGCCGAGGATTAATAGTTACTCTGAACGATTCACCACCAGGAGTTACACTGACTCAGATGGCAGAAGAGTTTACTCCAGGTAAGTGGAGGATTTGTGCCCATTTCCCAGTCAAGGCTCCAGGGATAAGGGGAATGTTGACCTAGAGCCTTGCAACCTTCACAAAGTAGATCACTGTCAAAGAATGTCTGGCCTTTGCAATCCTGGTTATTTGCTAGGTGTTTCAAGGCAAAAATGTGTCCACTACACTCTCTAAAGTACTAAAAAACAATGTTATGTGTTGATAAGTAACATGAGTTTTGGGAAAGTGGGATTTTATACTTTTATCTATTGAGGCCAGATTTTAGTTCAAATATTGCAGTTCTGCATGGCAAGTTTTCGGGATTGGTGTCGTTGGCTATTTGGTTTTGATGGGCACATTGCTGTAGAGCCGAGTGAGTGCCTTCCTGTCCATAAGGCTTAGTTCTTAACAGCCCGGCGAAGTACTAAATGGTAGAGTTCAGCAGTCGATAAAGGAAGCCTTTCCTTCAATGTGGTGCCAATTTGGTTCCATTCCAATAACTGTTTTTTTCATTATCAATTCAAGCTAGGAAGAATTTTATTTTAAACATTTTTGACACCGATTTCTTCTATATCAGATTTCTTAGTAACTAGGGGAAGTACAGGAATTGCCTTTTTGGGCAATCGATAAAGGAAGCGTTACTTTATATGTGGTGCCAATGTGGTTCCATTCCATCAAGAGGTTTTTTTATAATCAATTTTCAAACTTACGAATAATTTTTGGATAAAACCGCTTTTGACATAGCTTTTTTCTACGGTCGATTTCTTAATATCCAGGCCAAATATTGGAATGGAAAGTTTAGCTATCGATAAAGGAAGCCTTACTTTATATGTGGTGCCAATGTGGTTCCATTCCATCTAGAGGTTTTTTCATAATCAATTTTCAAACTAATGAAGAATTATTTGTTGAAACCGCTTTTGATACCTCTTTTTTCTACAGTCGATTTCTCAATATCCAGGCCAAGTATTGGAATGGAAAGTTCAGCTATCGATAAAGGAAGCCTTACTTTCTATGTGGTGCCAATGTGGTTCCATTCCATCGAGAGGTTTTTTCATAATCGATTTTCAAACTTAGGAATAATTTTTGGATAAAACCGCTTTTGACATAGCTTTTTTCTACGGTCGATTTCTTAATATCCAGGCCAAATATTGGAATGGAAAGTTTAGCTATCGATAAAGGAAGCCTTACTTTCTATGTGGTGCCAATGTGGTTTCATTCCATCAAGAGGTTTTTTCATAATCAATTTTCAAACTTATGAAGAATTATTTGTTGAAACCGCTTTTGACACCGCTGTTTTCTATAGCCGACTTCTTAATATCCAGACCAAGTAGTGGAATGATTCTTTTGGAAATGCATAAAGTAAGCTTTCCTTTCCGTTTGGTGCCAATTTGGGTGAATTTTGTCAATGAATTTTTGTCATTAAACATACTCAATTCCAGACTGTTTCTGAATGGGCGTTTGGTTGCAGGAGCGCCTCTATTACGGAAGATGGCGTTACAACCAGATTTAGAGAAGAATCAAGAGAGGGCTCTTTGTCCAGAGACAGCGGCATTAGTTCTATTAGAGAAAACAGTGTATATGACTACCCACGTCGGTAAGTTTGCTCAAGCTTCGATTTCTTATTAAACACGATTTTCTTCAAAGTTCAAAAGTTCTTCAATTTTCAACAGATTCACTGCTTTTTTGTTAGTCGCAATTTTTCACAAAAAAGTCAATAAAAAGCCAAAATCTCAATATTTTAGTGCAAAGCTTAGTAACCCAAACATTTGGTTCTTTTAGGGACAACTCATTGAACAGATCAGAGCGACTATCGACCGCAGGCATGATCGAATCGGTGGCTGAAATGCGGAATAAATATTCGCCTGCCAACTACGTTCCAGCCATCTACCGAAACAAGTATGAGAACATTTCCAGGTCGAAGTCCATCAATGATATTGGTAAGTCGGAAAATATGTGCTCAGTCCTGATAGGGCCTTGTAGGAATTGATTTAAAAAAGGCTAGATAATGTGTGAGAACGCATCTGGAACATTAACAGCCCGCAATCCGGTGTGTATTGACTTAAATCTCCACGATCCTCTTCTTTCAGGTCTGCCACCAATCGAATCAAAGTCCACCAGCCCTTCGTCAGCATTGTCCCGCAAAAAACAGGTAACATCCGACAACGTCGGCAGCAGTTCCGCAGCCTCTGCTAACAGTAATAATGCTAACTGCGGCGGCAACGGCGCCCCTAACGGCAAATCGGCCACTAACAGCGGCAATAACGTCAACGCCGTGCTAACGGGCCATGCAAGCCGGAGCTTGGCGGATTTGCCCGATTCGGACACGAACGGCAATAGGCGCGCCAGCGTTGCCGATTTGTGCAAGCGCTTTGACGAGAAACCGCCTCGAACTGCTCCCGCGCGAGCCGTAGGAGGCCGACAAGTTAGGCGAAGTTTAGAGGAACCTGTCAAAGTTCACAGAGAGGTGATTTTGATCTTCATTTTTATCAAATTATTTGTTTTTGACACGGCTTGGATTTTTTTTAAACAAGGTTTTTGGGATTTTTCTGGTTTTTCGTTGATGACAAAACAATTAAATAAATAAGAAAATTAGTAAAGATTAATTAAAGTTCAACGGGAATCAATAGTTCAACATTTTTGAGTTTTATTTTTTTTAATTTTTGAGCTTCGATTAAATTAATGAACAATAACTAACGAGGAAAAAGTGGGATTCATGCAAAAAACATTTAAATTTTTGGTGCGTCAAGGTAACGAGAGGCACAACTGAACAATGTTCTCATCCACCTCTGCACTGGGGAGATTTGGGTCCTGAAGGCACTAAAAACACTTGAATGTCTGTTAAAATCAAAGCTTTATTGCTGATTTGCCAAGCTCTGTTTAGTAACTGACAAACTTTGCCTCAACAATCACACTGTTCTATTTTCCGTTCTAAACAAGTCATGTTTTCCGCTTTTGCAAGGCTTCGCCGATTTCATCTGGCACCAGCAGCAAACCATCGTCTTCATCCGCCTTTAGTAACGGATACTCATCCAGCACCCTGCTTAGTAACGGCCACGCAACCGCTATCCCGCTTAGTAACGGAAGCTTGAGTAACGGCGACTCAGAGAGGAGCGATGTGATTGGGCAAAAGGATTCAGTGCAAGAAAACGGTGTTTTACAGGCCGAGCTGAATGGCGATCTAGACAAGGAGGACAAACTGAATGGTGATGATAAAAAGCGCAGCTCCAGAGTGAATCAATGCGCCAGTTTTATACCGAACGAGCCGGCCAGCGATGAACTGGAAAGCGAAAACGAGAAAATTGGACGGAAATATAGCTATGTAAGTGTAAAGCCCGTGTCCCATGCATCCGTTTGTACGATGATACGATGGTACGAAAGTGTTTCTATTAGTTGGAGATCTGTCGATTCGTCTGTCGTCGTACGACATATCATCGTACAAATGGATGCATGGGACCCGGGCTTTAGTGTTTGTACCTTTTACCTGTGAACGTTGAAAAATCAATGTCAAATGTTCAGTGCGATTCCATAAAGATGATTTTGCTGCATAAAAAGCCATTAGCGATCGATTGGCAGGCATAAAGTAGAAAGAATGCTGAAGAAACGCCCCACGCCTATATTACTGAGCAGGAAACAGATTCTGGTGAGGCATTAAGTTCGTTTCATGATAACAGCTGGAATTGTGAGGTTTTTACAAATCCTGTCGCAAATTCCTGGATTTTTTGTCGCGAAAACCCCCACTTTTCCCATCAATTGCTATTAGAAGAAATTAGAGAGAAATTTTGTTCGCTAAGTAGGTTTGCAGTGTGAGATTTTTCTTGCGTGGTTCGCACGTTGCTTGCACGTTTTTATCACCTATTTCAGCGCGAACGGAGAATATTTTGTATTATTTTCTAAAGCCTTTGATTATAAAATGCTAATATAATACTAAATAAATGATAAAAACCTGCACAGAAAGTGAGAACGACGCAAGTGAAGTCCCTTTCTTAAACATGTTTCTTCGTTTGAAGCATCATCAGGGCCATAATAATTTTCTACAGGCATTTTATTCAATTGAACTGATGATGCTTTTTAAACCCATTTTTCGATCAAGTAAAACAATTAAAAATTCACTCGTACAATGGAAAAAATGCTGGGAAGAGATTTAAGCACCCTTTACAAAATTAGTTCAAAAATTCCAAGTAAATTAAAAATTCCTCTCCTGGATGATGTGATTTGAAAAATGTGTAAATCCGGAAGGGTTTTGAAATTGCAACTTTAATGTATCTGATGATGATTTAAAGACGACCGAAACGTTTAGTAAAGCAATCGATAGGAAATTTGAGTAGAAAACGACAAAACAATTCAGAATTTGGAACAAAGTGGGCAACCACATAATGAGGACAGTTGTTTGAAAATTAAATGACTAGTGGATCTGGTGAATATTTAATACGGAATCTCACCGACCGTTCGTCTAAAGGATATTTTCGCTAGCTACATCTCGTAACATTTGGATGGATGATATTTTTAGAATCCAACGCGTGTTTTTTCGTAAGAGAATGGCTCGTCATAGACAATTCTAATTTCGGCTCTATTGCTTAGTAATAATGGTGGTCGATCCGTTCATGTTTTTTATTTTATTTTATGTCCTTACTACTACTGGGCGAAAAAGCGATTTACTTGCGGAAACGTGGAGAATGGTGATCTAACCGAACTGGAGTTGATTTGTTAATCAAAAGTGCTAATAATGTTTACTGTGGACTGGTTCTTTCGTTACATGATTCGGACTAGAATGTGAAACATCGCAAAAAATGGTTATTGGCAAAATTTTGGTGATTATCTCATTTCATTTTTATATTCTACTCAATGTTTCACTTAAGTGTTCAGTTCTACAGCAATAAACGCACTTCAATGACTAGCATGGGCAGCAACGACGCAAAATTGTTATTTTTTCAATATGTCCTTTACTTGCTCTGGGTCGTTTTGCTGATTGTTGTCGTTTATGGGTTCGCGATAGGGCTTTTAGCTAATGTTTCCGAAAAATCGGTTAAATCGACAGGATCAAGCCAGTTGCGACTGTATTGCTTAAGCGGATTGGTATGTTTGAGTTCCCAAATTTACGCTATTTACTAAAAAAATTACCCAAACTCTTCTAGGTGACTTAGGTTAGAAATTCATTAATTTTCCGTCTGAATTTTTTTTTATGCCTGACCATGCAAAAATTGAATCAATTGAAAAAAGACAAGTGACAATTGCAAATAAACAACGCATTACTGGCCAGTTCAAAAACAAACATGTATAAAAACAGCATGAATAATTAAGGGTTCTCGAGCTGTTTGGGGCAAGAGCAACTATCTTAAGTTAATTTTCCTGCCTGCTTTTTTTGAAAAAAATTGTCTAAAAACGACAAAAGAAGCCCTAGTTAAAAGCATACAAAACAACTCAATGGATTGTTTGGTGTTTTCGATGGATTCTCATAGTTGAAATGTTTGGTTGCAGGACGTGAGCGCCTCGAGTCCACCAGGTGGCGGCGCTAAGGGAGGAGGGCGTGGCGTTACTTCATTGGCCGGTCCCTCCTCCCGTCGCTCACTAGCCACGCCCCCTGCAGACGGAGACGACGACGATTTGGCGCAGGCGCGGCGCGGTTCGACAGCAGACGCCCGTAACGGCCTCGGATTGGTCGGGCTGCGAAACATCGGCAACACTTGTTTCATGAACAGCGTTCTCCAGGTACTTCGATCCAAATAGTCTGACTGCAGTTTCACTCAATTTTGGGTTTCAGTGTCTGAGTAACACCCGGGTGCTATTGGACTACATCAGAAAAGACACTTACCAGAAGGATATTAACAATGTGACATCTTCAATGAAAGGTAGTTGAGCAATTGTTTGGGTTGAGGGCAAAATGGGTAATTTTTGTGTGGTTTCAGGAGCGCTTTTTAAAGCATTCGGGGAACTCATTAAGGAATTGTGGGCTTCCGACTCTTCTGGCCCCGTTAATACAGCTGCATTAAAGTCGCAAATTCAAAGATTCGCTCCTCGTTTTATGGGCTACTCGCAACAGGACGCGCAAGAGTTTTTGCGCTATTTTTTGGAAGGTTAGTATCGGTTTTGCGCGTTTTTTCTGCGTTTTATAGGAGGTTTTTTTTTTTAAGGATTACACGAAGACGTTAATAGAGTGACGAGCAAACCGAAACCGATCACTACAGACATAGAGGATAGTTTGCCCGATGCGGAAAAAGCAACAGAAGCGTGGCGACGTTACTTGAGGTCTGAAGACTCGCTTATTGTGGATGCTTTTGTGGGCCAGCTAAAATCGACCTTAAAGTAAGTTCGCTTTTTAAATAACTTCAAGGTGGAGGATAAGCAGTTCAGAATTGGCTAAAACTTCTTTTTTAACCAAAAGATAATTTTGTTCTTGTCGCTTCCTTGTAATAAGAGTACGCTTTAAAGAGTTTGCAGCTCGTTGCTTCAATTTCGACACAACGTACGTAAAACCGTACGTAAAACGTTCAATATTATACCCAAAAAATACATTTTCTTCTCAAAGTTGTCTTTATGTAACGAAAACACGTTCCTTTGCAGTTTTCAACTCGTCGCTCTTAAACTCCTGCCACATTAGCTAAAAATTATTTTTTTAAGCAGAAGGCAAAAGTTGCCTTCTTGTCAGTCAGAACACATTTTATTAAAGAGTTTTCAGCTAGTTGCTATCAAACTCCTTTAAATTGGGCACAGAATGGTGCGCAAAACGTTAATTTTTTTATGTAAGTTGCTCTCAAATTCCTTCAGTTGTTTTTTAAAGCAAAACAATGTTGCAAACACCGCATTAACTTCTATTTGATTGCTTCTTTGCAGATGCACACATTGCGGTCATTGCAGTGTAACTTTCGATCCTTTCTGGGACTTGTCGCTTCCTCTGCCTTCCGGCAGAAATTCGGGCGCCTTAAGATTATCGCATTGCCTCGAAGCATTTACTAAAGAGGAGACTTTGGACGGAGATGAAAAGCCCAAATGCGCCAAATGCAAAGAACGGCGACGGTGTACAAAGAGCTTCTCCATACAGAGATTCCCACAGGTGCTGGTCCAAAGTGTTTGGTTTTTTTGTCGATTGGAACTGAGGATTTGCCTTGCAGGTTCTAGTCATTCATTTGAAGCGTTTCTCGCCCTTGGAACGGTTCCGTGGCAAACTAAACACCCTTGTGGAATTTCCGCTTGAAGGCTTGGACTTGACTCCGTATGCTTCTGAGGCGCAAAGTGGCCCAAGTCCGCGATACAACTTGTACGCTGTGTCCGAACATTCGGGCACTCCATACTCTGGGCATTATACGGCGCATTGCAAAAACCCGATAGATGGAAGGTAAGTCGGCTTCTAATGCGTTTGAATCGCAATTGAATTGCGAGCTTACCGTTTCAGGTGGCATGAATATAACGATTCTCGGGTAAGTGCCGCTTCGGGACGTTCTGCAGTATCAGCGGAAGCGTACGTTCTTTTCTATGAGCGAGAAGGTGGCAGCAGTCAGCGATCGCGACTGTAAACCGGATTAATTCACCTGAAAGCAACTAAAACTCGTAAAGTGTGTCGAAGCCTACATGGTAATATGCCTAATTTTCAAACAGGTTCTATTTGAACAAAATACAGGTTTTCACTGACAAAAAATTCGAAAACCGCTGAAAGCAATTAGTTAAATTTTCGGACTTACTAGGGCTCTATCCCAATTGATTCCTTATTAGAACCTGTATTTGTATTTGGTAGATCCTTCTTAGTCATTGTTTGGGCAAACCAGTCCTTCAGTGAGTACTTACGTTATGTTTACCCATCTAGTCGATTTGTTGTATTCGAGGGAATAAGTGGTTTTGGAGTAATATCTTTTGTATATACCCCTGTTTGATGTGATATTTTTGTTTTACACGTTTACTATTTTTTGTATATTAGTTTATACAAGTTTTGGCTTATGTTATCCACGTGACCTTTGGCCGGTTGTCTTCGAATAAATTAATCGATTGCGAATTTATTGGAATTAATGAATAAGTGTGTCTTCGCTCGAATCAAGGTGCCATAGTCAGAACTGCCGGGCTGTACAGGAAAATTTGACTTTACACAGAAATCGTGTTACAAAAACAGTCGGAAGGAAGGACTAGGGCCCTACTAGGAGCACATTGTTGATATTATAGCACTACATAGAGAGAATATTATTAACGGTTAATGTTTCTTACTCAAAAACCACTTTTCTTTGTTTTCCTTTAGCCGTAAACCTTAATTTAGTCTCGTGTTTTGGAGCGTGGCCCGTTGATGGCCATGTCCGCTTTTAGCTAATCGCTTCTTCCTCTCGGGGGAGGAGGCAAGTCCAGCACACCCACAAAACTCACTCGAAATACGGGATATTCTAAACACAAATTCTATGAGAATGTATTATATTCGATTTATTAAGCTTTATATTGAAAACTGTTTTGAAAGCACTAACTTAATAAATACTGTTTGCAAAACTGGCTGTTTAGTTTACTTGGCTCGCACTGTACAACTCGTTTAGATGGTTTTGGCAACGTTTTTAAATGCGATGTTGTTCTTGGTGCATATTAAATGCTGGGGCACCGTTTAAAAAACATCAACAGAAAACTACTTTCCTCTAACACAAAAAATAACAATTAAATAATAAAAACAACCAACAAAGCACAACGTAAATAATTTGAATATTTTATATGTCGTCATAATGCCTGGGGTCCGTGCTCCTTTAATCAGTCTAGATTTATTTTTATTTGAAACAAGTTTCACTAGGTGATCCACCTAAATTGCCTTTTTCAGAATGTTTCATTCTTCGATCAAAAAACACAACAACCCAAATTTCCTGGCCTCAGGGTAAAATGACTAAAATTCCTACTATCTACAAAGACATACGTGAATCACATAATCGAGCATTCCGGATTAGCTGCCGGATCAGCAACGGGCAATGCACTTGGGTTTCCTGATGGGTCAAACGCGAAAGGAGTATCCACGTCCCCCATTAGTTCCACTGGAGGTTGACCGTAGTCTTGCAGCTGAAACAGATGATAAATAAAAAAATAGTCCAGAAGGAACGTGCAAAGTCACAGTATTTTGGTCAAAATTTGGACTTACCTTACTCATCAGCGCCAGCACCTTTGAAAACCGGTCCTTTTTCACTTCGATACTGTCAGTGTCCTTTTCCTGGTTCAGCTCCTCCAAAACCTCCTCCATCAGCTTCTTTTGGTTCTCATACCGTTCAACATCCTCTTTCGATAAAGTGTCCTTGTTGTTTTCCAAGTAAGCGGGCAGTTTTTCCACAAAGTCCTGCAAACTTGGACTGAGCACATCTTTGGACAATAACCCTTGCATCATGCCTAGAAAAAATGGGAAACGATTAGGCGAATATTCTGATTTTTAATAGTGCAACTTACCTTGCATGAACGGCAGTAAATCGTTCTCCTGGCCGGGACCGCCAGCGCCGAACATTTTGAGCAAATCGTCCTCATTAAACTGGGCTTTGAGGTTCTCCTGCCCCTGATTTAGACCTGAAAATTTCACTGTGGTAAAAACAGTCTTTGGAAAAAAAACGGCCAACCTACCAGCGATTGCTTGTGATATACTCGCTGCGAAATCTACCGATTGGTCAGACACTTCAGTTGGATTGGTCAGAACCTGCTGAGCTGCATCTAAAGTACCAGCATTTTAATTTCAGGGAAATGTTCGGTTTGCCTGGTTTTTACCTGCCATTTGCTTCATTTTTTCCTGGACCACATCGGGGGAGATTTCACTATTGGCACCACCTCCAGTTAACAGTCTCGCGAAGTTTTCCTCAAACTGAAGGGCGGCTTGTTGAACAAATTCAGTAGACCATTCTTGGGGAACATCTACATGGAAACAAACATTGTTTGGGCAATTGCTTGAGAGATATAAACCTGTTGGTCTAAGGGAACTAATCAAGTTTCAATAAAAATGAGCTCTTAACACGTTGGCTTAGACCAACAGGGTTATATAGATTAAGGCATGTGAAGTCGAATAATAATTGGGCCAAATTGCCTTGAATAATTATCTAAACATTTATACTTTACCTGTTTCAATAGTTGCCTGGTCATTAGCTGGATCTGGTTTGGTTTCCTTATCATTTTTGGGGCCAGCCTGTTCTCCAAAGTCCTGCAGAGCACCTGGAAAAAGCACAAATCTTTGACCTCTGCCAATTTATCAACTCAGTTTAACAAGTCGATCTGTGGGGCACTTTCAGTGCACTAATTTTAAGGGGAAATGCCTCTGTTCAGCTTTTAAAACATAGCGCAAGTACATTTAGAACTGAAAATTCTGATGGTCAAATGGATGCTTTCGCTACAATTTCCACTTACTATCAAGTAAATCGGCCAGCTCCTTATCGTCGTTTTTTGGGGTGCTCTTCTGCTCACTCATTTTTTTGTTGATTTTTAGATTCTCTTCTCAATATGACTCAAAGTGCATTGCGTAATTTAATAACGATTTAATTGGGAGCGCTGTAGAGCCTTCAGCTCAATAAGTGATATTTGCTGAAAATTTTGGAGAAACGTGATGTAATTTTAAATCTGAAATACGGTCAGATCATAGGGTCATATGAAATAACGTGACATACTTGTCAATGTCTTAATAATTTCTGATTGCCAACCCCAGCAGTCAGAAGGAACTAGGTGGAAAATGGGGGCCTTTTTGCGCAACCTGAAGGTTTTTTTTAAAGAAAAATGTATTTATCTATTCTCCAATTCTGTAAAGCTTCAAAATTGCACAATAAAGGCCAGTTTGCAGAATAACCTGCCTAACAAACTTAGCTTAACTCATTATACAATGGTACAAGGCGCACATGACGTCACTGGTTTGCACTTTGGTGAGCTGATCCCATTTAAAATGCATGTAATCTAGACAGATTTTGATTGAATTTAAAACGCAATAGTTCAAAAGTGGAAAGTTATATGAGGATATAGTTTGCACTGTTGTATAGCTCATTGCTTTCTAAATCGCGTTTGGGGCTTGATTTGGGCTTATTGCGAAGAAAAATACCCTAATGAAGTCTCTGATTTTCAGCGTTTTAGCTTGCTGTGTTGCCAGAGTGTCATTCGTAAAATCCCAGGGTAGAGCCAAACGAAACAATGATTCATTGAATCTTGGGGTGAATGAGTTTGGGCGTGTTTAATTCTCTCAGAATTTCAAAAATGATGATTATGAGAGGAATTTGCAATTCGAACTTTTGGGGTACTTGCCAAAACCAAACGCTGTACTTTATTGCACATTGTTTAAATCCTGCTGCAACGCATTCTGTAATTATAATTTAATATAAAAGAAAATTTATAAAAAATTAATTAAATGTAACAAAGACTAATATAATATATGACAAGAAAAATCACGACACTCAAGGACTTCCACTGACGTCACGCAAATCCGTCTTTATCTATGCGCAAATCGACGAGCTAAACTGTCCAAACCGGTAGGTTGGCAATAGTGACTGTTTCCTGCGAGTCTTGCGACCATCTTATTTTCCGCGTTCCGTTCCAAAGCAATCGGCTTGTGTGGTTTGTTTTTGTCTTTAGAAAGTGAGTTTAACGGGGTTTTCAGCGCTTCTCAGTCCTAAAAATCATGTCGAGTGGACGCAACGATTGCCGCATCTATGTAGGAAACTTACCACCCGATATTCGCACCAAAGACATCCAGGACTTGTTTTACAAATTTGGAAAAGTCACATTTGTCGACTTAAAAAACCGACGCGGGCCCCCATTTGCATTTGTCGAATTTGAGGATCCCAGGTGAATGCTGAGCTGCCCGCACCCCATTTTTTTGCCGAAACTAGCAGTTTGGGGGTTATCTAAAACCTGGATGTTTTGCAGGGACGCTGACGACGCTGTACATGCAAGAGATGGTTATGACTATGATGGGTACCGTTTGAGGGTTGAATTTCCTAGGGGTGGAGGTAGTGGTGGCAGCGGTGGCATCAGCAGTGGCGGTCGAGGCGGCGGAAGCTTTAGGGGCGGCGGTCGCGGACGAGCCAACCGGGGGCCTCCTGCCAGAAGAAGCCAATACAGAGTGTTGGTGACGGGCTTGCCCCCCAGTGGATCATGGCAGGATCTGAAGGTAAGGAATTGTCTACAGTTAGTTGCCTGAATACCAGTATAACATTCCAAATGAGGTGCCTTCATGGTACAGAAGATCGGAAAGGCCCTAATGGGTATTTCGAAATTTTGGACGACTCTTAACTCGTCACATTTTCGCGTTACTTTGATCATGTTTGCCCATATCGTGTGAAAAGATCGCGTAATTTGTGGTAAATTAACTATTTTATATTTCAGGATCACATGAGAGAAGCTGGAGATGTATGTTTTGCCGATGCATTTAAAGACGGGTCTGGTGTAGTGGAGTTTCTCCGTTACGAAGACATGAAGTACGCCATAAAGAAATTAGACGATTCCCGATTTAGGTCTCATGAGGTAGGCGAACCTGGGGAAACCAAAGGTGGCAATTGGTTCAACCTTGCCTGGTACTTTCAGGGAGAAGTGGCGTATATAAGAGTAAGAGAGGACAGAGGGGGAAGCGACAGCCGTCGATCGGGAGGACGGTCCAGATCGCGCTCCTTTTCCCCACGAAGACGGGGCTCCCCAACCTACAGCCCTGTGAAGAGAAGTTACTCTAGGAGTCGCTCTCGTTCGTAGAACTCACAGGTTAGTTTCCATTCAATCCATTTTTCTTCGCGTTTATCTGCGTCTTATCAGGCCTGAATGGCTTGGTTTTTCGAATGTTCAGCATCTTAAACCGCTTAAAACTGTTACTTGAATCGTCTGCCTCTGCCTGTTTTTTAAATTGCAATGTTTTTTTCTAGGTTTACCTTTGCGAAGGAAGTTTTTCCTCTAATAAACTGTAAAATCGCTTTCATTTTCGTGATTTGTATTGTAGAGTTAATTTTAACAAATTCATTTCATAATCTGTAAAGGTAGTTAAAACTTAGTGTACTTTGGTTAATTTAGGATTTTTACAAATTTCATGCCGGAATCTAAATGTGGTTTAACTCAAATGTATCTCTTATTTTTTTTTTAGTGAAACTTTCCATATTAATTCACGCAGCGATGCTTGCATTCGTTAAGCTACATTAATATTTCGTTAATTATTGTGGCGTATAGAGGATAAGTCACTAATTTTTATATTTTGTTTTTAATGTTGGGACAAAACAACGTTGGAAAAAAGGAAAATACTGGAACTAAACGTAAAAATCGCAAAACGGATTTTGAAAGATCTAAATGGAGGGACAGGACATAATAATGGATAGTTTTTAAAGGGAAGCGTGCAGAATTGGAATTGGCTCCTTGAGGATTTCACACCTGAAGGAATAACGATTTCTTGGGGGGGATTATCAAATATCAAATCAAAATCCCAGTAACCGCTGGGATTAACCATCTAGTTTAACCCGGGAAATTAGTCACGAATTAGCATCAATGATTGGTGGGGTTCGAGATTTTAAATACAATTTTAATTTCAAATTGAATTCTACAACAACTACATACGTGGTTTTTTTGTTTGTTTTTACGAAGAATTTCGATTTCCTTCTGGAAATTCTCTTGTGGTTAACTTTCTAAGGTGTGCCGAAGGATTTCTGTCAGGCCCAATCGTTGATGTTAATTACGGCTGGGTTGAACGAGGCAAAACATTCACTTCAAAGCAACTAACTGGTTCTAATGGCGAATCTTGTATGTTGTTATTTTTCCTGTGTGTTTTCAACACTAGGCAATGAATCAATTGGTTAAACTAGTAACATACGGGATTCTCCTAATAGAGCCCTGAGGCTAAATCGGGTTTCATTTCTTAAAATTTGCACATCAAAGGATTGGAGTGAAAAAAATAGGAAAGGAAAGGATCCAACAAGTGTTCTGGACTTCTAAGGGTAAATACACAATAGCATAAACCAAGAAAACTAATTTTCCCTAAGTGGTCTTTAATATCACGTTACTTCAAGTCTTAAAATTCGTTTTTGTTTAACACTGGTTTTGATTCAGATTTTATTAGCTATCAAATCTAGATTTTAAGACGGAAGTGCGTCATTCATTAAAGACCTGTAACTTAACACACATAATGCTGAAGTGGAATATTTTTATCCCAGGTCTGAAATCTGGAAAACGATTCCTGGGATTTTATGGATTCTCATATTAAACATAAGGATTTATAAAAGGATTGCGGATTCTCTCAAAGGATTAAATTTTAAAAAAGTTGGAATTCTATGCGAGGATTTGTTCTGATCTCTCCTCCGTTTAGGACTTGCGGCAATATTGGAAATGTCCCCCTTATTTAGTCTTCTAGGATTCGCTTTATGGATAGTAAGTAGTAAAGGATTTCATTCATACAGATAGGATTTCTCGAGGAGACATGCAACCAACAGGTATTTTCCTTTTTCTGTGCTTAACTCCGGTATATTAACCCGTTTTATATGTTCAGCGTGGTACATTTGTGTTTTTTGCATGACTTTCCCTTTTTGCTTCAATAAAATATTTCTAGTTTTGGTTTCTTGTTTTCTTTTATTTTCCTCGCTCAAATCTTGGTTGTTTACAGAACAACTACTTGTAAAAAATCCCTTGCTTGTCCACAAGGTTTTTCTACTCGTTCGGATACAGGCGTACGATATCTAAAGGCTTCGCTGGTAAGTTTGTGACTGGGCATTTTTGGGCTTCACTCAGATGTTTGAGGATGCACCGGAAGCAAAATATGTAGCTAAAAGTGTTTTATTTCAAACAAATCGTGGAATTTTTTCTCAATTTTGCCTTACCCGGACACAGGCAGGGCTGTTGGAATGCGCCAAGTTTGAAGGCAAAGGGGGCATTTGCCCCCATAGGCTCTCGCTCTGTTGTCTGGCTGCAATTTGGACATTTTTAAAAACATGTTGACATTTGACCTTAAAACAAACCGTAGGGGCCTCAATTTTGGGCAAATCGGTTATACTACAGTTGGGTTTTTGTGCGCTCCACGTTTGCAGAAATTGCAGGAAAAATGCGGTTGTTTCCAAAACCGTACTGGCCGCATTCCTCAGCAACCCGCCGCTAATATCTGAAAATCTGCAGGCCTGATTATGAAATGATCACTGGGTTTGGTTATTAAAATTTCGCACCGTAGGTTTCCCTTGAAGACTTGGCCCCAGAAGCTCAAGCTGGGTTCCTCATTGGAGTAAACCAGCTTGAGTTTGAGGAGGTTTAACAGCGGTTGGGGATATTCGGTTTTTCCCGCCATGTATTGCAGGTGATTGTTGAGAGCAAGAAGACTCCAAGCCACTTCGAATGCTGAGTGGGAGCGAATGACGATTTGCTTGGATCTGCGCTCAAAGTCCTGCAATGAGCTATTGTTTACTAGGATTTTGGATGTATTGAACTTGAATTACATTTCTTATGCAGCCCTCAGCGCATTCGATCCGGTACATTTGGATTTTATCCTCGATTTTTCTCTTAAAGTACGGCATTAGCACTAGGAATATTAAGGACAGTTCCTTTTCATGATGCTTTAGTGGCTCGTCATCAACCAAAACCCTTTTCAAACCGTAGAAGTTTTCAGAGAAAGACCCATCTAAAAAATCTGTTTTTTTGCCTCTGATTCAATAAAGAAAGCAACTCACCGTGGTTTTTAAGATAATAAAACTGCAACAACCCACTGAGAGCTAGGAAAGCCTCATTGTAATAAGCGTCCAAAAATCCGAGTTTTTCGGGAAATTTTGCTGATAGAAAAAGGGCAACTTTCTGCAGGGCTGGGTACAAGGTATCGGTCAGGGACTGTTGAGCCAACACTTCGAAAATCGAGGGCTTTATTTGGTAGGTGCGCGTAAAATTGGCAGCATTTTCGATCATGGTTGGACATTGAAACCAATCGGAAAGAGTTTACTGGGCCCCCCAAAATTTATAACCTCAATACTAGTGAAAACATCAAAGTTGACAGTTGCTTGATGGGGGTGTTTTCTCTGTTTACCAAAGGTTTTCGGTTAATATGGATTTGACACAACAGCATGCGGGGTTTTTACTAATTTTTAAATAAAACAAAAATTCTTCAGGCACTTCAGTTAATAACTGTCTTAATTAAAATACTATACTAGGCTATAGAAATAAAGCTTCTGCGGTGCTTTCCTTATCTAGCGTCGAATACCACCACTGGAACAAATTCAGTTATATTAATATTGCAGGGGGTTTCTTTTAACAATTCCTACTCACATCGTTTGGTCCGTTTTTTATACATTATACGGTATCCGCATTCTCTGCAACGAATTGGGTCTCTAGGCCTAATCTCGTTCTCACTGTGACATTCTGCAAAGAAAATACGGGGTTTTTAAAGTTGTTCGAAAGCGGAAACCCTCGAATGCGTGTAATTAGCCTGATGTAACTGCGATTATGCAGTTACATAGTTATAAACTCTATGCTTTATTGAGCAAGATATTGATTGTATTTAGTCTCACCGACCTCCGCAAATGTAGACCATCGGTGCCTTTGCAGCAGAGGGCTCTTTGGCCGCAGTTTCGGGCATTTTCCCCGTTAATATTTGGCTGAACGCTACAAAATATAAAAACAAACGTGGAAATTTCGTTGCAAACCAAAACAACGTAACTCATAACCTGTAAAGTCTTCCTTCGTTCGAAAAGCGAGACGAATTTGTAATCCAACCTAAATACCTAAGCTAACAAAACCAACGATGAAGATAAGAACATAACCCTGGGGCCTGCTCACTTTCAACATTTCTGAGTTCCGTGTTACGCGGCCCGCGCCTCCAGGAGCGCTGGCATCCACAATTTTGGAGATTTGGCGCTTATCGATGTCAAGTGCTGCTCACCGTCAGTCAGCTACGTCAATATTGCCAGTCAGTTCATAGATAAGCAAGAAAATTAGTAGGAGCCATTTAACAAAAACTTGTTTTTTTGGGATTTTTAATGATAAATTGACTTGAATTACATTTGAATTTGGCGTTTTAATCACCAGCCCGCATCGCAGGCGGCGCGACTGTATGCGGTTTGACGTTATCGCCTGCGTTGCCAATTTACATTGGCTACTATAACATAGTTTGATAATCTGTGAACATAACCACAAATTTGCTCATAGTCTGGAGTTGTCAGCGGTAGAAAAGTTCAGCAGTTAAAAAAGTAAGTTATTTGAAACCCCAATAGTTCCATTCGATGGTCTATCGAGCCATTAACATCGCCAAGTCTTTATATACGCATTTTTGGCACTCTACCCCCAAAAAACTCATTATGCAAGACTTGCTCAAACCCCCTGCCCATGTGCAGCTAATGAAACAACTAGATAGGGCTGCTTTTGCCAAAACCATTGAAGTCCCACTGCTCAAAGCGCGCAACATCAAGCTATCCTCTGTTATACCCATCGTGAAGCCGTTTCTATTGAAGCTGAGGAAGTTCAAATCAATCCGCCCTAGCGAAAGTGGTGAAGTGCGCATTTATTTGAACCCACTACTTGTGGGAAGTTGGGGAGATTTTCCCAATGAAACTAGAGCGAGCTTGGAAACCCTGAGTTTGAACCACAGCAACTTCACGGTGGAGAGTTTCACCTTGCAATACGAGCATTATAGTGTAGAAGCGATCCTGCAGGCAGTTTTGCCTAAAGAGCAGGAAGGCTGTTCGAGTTTCACCACTGTAGGCCATATAGTGCATGTGAATTTACGTGAGCATTTGATGCCGTACAAGGACATTATAGGTAAAACTCCGCTAAGCTCAAAACGACGACAATTCTAAAATTACCACTCTTTACAGGGGAGGTTCTGTACGACAATGTCCCAAACTGCAAATCAGTGGTGAACAAAACCAACATGATTGACAACACTTACCGCAATTTCCAAATGGAAATTCTTAAAGGCGACAGCAATATGCAGACGGAAGTGAAGGCAAATAATTGCCGATTTCAGTTCGATTTTGCTTCAGTTTATTGGAACTCCCGACTGGGCACTGAGCATGAAAGAATCGTGAAGGCGCTCAAGCCCCATAGTGTGCTTTTCGATGTTTTTGCCGGCGTGGGGCCGTTTTCTATCCCAGCAGCCAAGAAAAAGTGCACAGTATTTGCCAACGATTTGAACCCCCAGTCCTTCAAGTGGCTGGTACATAACAAGAAGCTCAATAAAATACCCGAGGATTTATTCAACGAGTACAACATGGATGGGCGGGACTTTATAAAGACGGTGTTTAAAGAAAACTTTCCACGGTTTAGTGGAAAACACCCAGTCTATGTTACAATGAACCTTCCCGCCTTGGCTGTGGAGTTTCTTGAGGCGTTTGTAGGCCTTTATAGCTTAGAGGAGGAGACGCAGGAATTTGAGCCTGTGACTCTGTACGTGTATTGCTTCGCCAAGGGCGAAGATCCTGAAAAAATCACCAGGAACTTGATAGAAAGTTGCTTGAGAGTGAAAAACGTCGGTATCCAAACGAAAATCACTGAGCTCTTCAAAGTGAGAACAGTGAGCTCGATGAAAGAAATGATGAGAGTGACTTTGAGCCTGGATAGAGATATTTTAACGGGGGTGGCTGAGAGCAAAAGGAAATTGCAAGATGAGCTGGGCATTAAAGAGGATGTTAAGCGGCTCTGTCGATCTGGTGAGTTGATTTTTTTAAATCGCTTTGTTATCGCATTTTGAGTCTTATGGGCATGAATTTAAAGAAGTCAACTTGCCAATGCGTTTCTGTACTTGGAAGCAACGGAATGTATTTTTTCCAGGTAAACATGGGGAAGAACAAGAAGAAGCTGAACAGCGTCTTCAAAGTGGCGGGAGCCAAGAGTTTAAAAATGAAGGCCAAAGCCAAGCCAGTAAAGAGTGAATTGAAGAATGTAAGTACTTAATGCAAGTTGCAGCAGAAACGGTTAGAGTAGAATTTCGAGAACTGATGAGTTCTTAGTGATGTTTCTTGAGCAGGGTCCCTTACTATGTTATGGAAAACGATGAATTTAAATAAGTGAAAAGCGAATTTCCCCAGGAAACACCATTAGGGAAACTTATTAGTCAACGGAACTTTGAACTTGAAAATTACGAAATAAATGTTGTAAACTTCCAGATAAAATTGAAAACCAAAGAAAAAGTGCTGGAAATCGACAAGGCGCTGGACGGATTACGGGGAACATTCATCACAACATCCACAGAAATAAAGCAGACAAATAAGCCAAAGACCACGCCATTACCGATTGTGAAAGTTGATGAAAATGTTGAAAATAACAGAATAGAGGCGACAGAAAAATTGGAAACCATGCAACTGTAATACACAGTGGTTGCGCAAAATATACATTTTTATATGGTTGATTAAGCGTTTTTCTTTGCACGCAATACACTGAACTAACCGGAAACGTGAAAACGAGAGTTATTATATAAGCGCACTTGATGTCCATCGAAAAATGCCACCGCAAACATGATAATGGCCAGTTAGCAAGTCGCTCAACGGAACACTTACCCGCCTGCGAAAGGGAAATTAAATTAAAACTGAAAGTCACGGGATCTAAATAATTGGCCGAAAAAAAAATGCAGGTGGATTTTTCATATCATATTATTTTATCGTATAAACAATTCGTCAACGATTTTTCACGGTCTTGACAATGTAATCTAAAATGGGTTCCAGCCAATGAACATTTGATTTTTTATTGCGACTAAGAACGTCTTAAAATTCGCCGGTTAAAGGGACCAGGGTGAGATCTTTATGGAAACGCCCCATCAAGAAGTAACTGTCGTTAGTAACAGTTAAGAAAATTATTTAGCATTCTGGCAGTGTATAGTTTGCGTTATTTTTATTGGGCATTACGTGCGAGATTTTTATTTCGTCAGATAACAGGCAGACAAAGCGTCTTTGTAATCGGACAATTTCCGTCTAAAATACGCAAAGTCCTTTTTAAATGTGCCTTGTTATACAGGGTGTTCAAAGAAGGTGAAAATTTCAAGCTGTTCCGTGGCTTAGTTTGAAGCTGGAATTTTTTTTAAAGAAAAGAGCGCAACTGTGAAAAAACGTCAATTTTGCCACCAATATTTCTTAAGCTGGCAAAAATCAGGATTTGGGGCGATTTTTATCAAACTTTTACCAACTTTAGGGCCAAGTGTTTTCTCAAGGTGGTGGAAATTTCAAGTTGCCTCTGGGCTTAGTTTGGAAGATGCGAATTTTTAAGGAAAAGAGCGCAGTTGAGGAAAAACCTCCATTTTGCGACCGATGTTTCCGAAGCTGGCAAAACCAGAATTGGAGGCGATTTCCGTGAAACTTTCACCAGCTGTAGAGCCAAGTGTGCTCGAAAGATCGTAAAATTTTAAAACCGTTACTTGCTATACTTTGAAAGATTTGAATTTTTAAAGGCGAGAGCGCAGTTGAGTAGCAACAGTAGTATTAAAAATTCAAGTCCCGTTTTACGTATACATTGAACAGGCGTGAACCACCCGGTATACTTCCAAAGTGCACAATCACCAAATGATTCGTGTGTAAATGTTGTACTTTTATAAAAAAAAATCAAGTTCGAAAGGCCACAATTCTTTAGCCCAGCATGGCAATGTTGAAAAAAATTCCTCACTTTAAAGCCAGCCAAAATTCCTTTCATAAGCGAACTCACATTACCTGCAGCCCAATCACTTTGGCGTGATGGATGCCTGATTATCTTCATAATTATTGCTTAAAGTTAAATACAAAGGCATATTAGAGTTGAGCTATGAATGATAATGAGACCCATGCTGGGTTATTTGAAATTTTACTGCGTGTGTGTGTCTATAAACAATAAAAACGTTTAAATTACCAGCGAACGGTTGCCGGATAAAAACCACTTGAAGATTTACGGATTTTAAACGCTCTTTTTTGTACTTTTAAGACCAAGAAAAAACACGGTTAAACTTTAATGTTTCCAATTTCCACGTGAATTTATTGAACTGCCTGTTTGCGCTTTTCAATATAACAAACCAAAACTTTCTATATGGTGCGAGTGATTCGACACGCGCAGTGGGCCAACAAATAAATGTTTAAACAATATTTTACAGCCCAATAAAGAACGACTAAAGGACGTTTTATATGCGGGGAAAAAATGAAATATCTCGTACCGTTCGTATCGCTGAAGATTATTATTTTTTATCGATGCTTGGGACACCCCGTCGCGATCCAGAACGTAAACCATATTCAAATTTTCTTAATAAAATTCCGAAACACCGATCATAAGTCACACCGTGGTTTTATACGGTTTTCTATAGGTTGTTTCGATTGTTTTTCCGTTACAGCCTGCAGTGGGTTTTAAACTTAACCGGGTGTTTTTTTACCACCGTGCATACCGACGTTTCGCCTGATGTCGCTTGTAGCACTCTCATGTTTGAGCAAAAATCTGTACGTTCTCGAACTCCTTCGGGTTGTGAAGATATCGGCTCCGGAAAACTGAAATGCACAGTTTGCTGTTCGGAAAACTAGATTTTTAATTAATTCGTATTCCCAACACAAGTGGGCTGATCAATGGGAAAAACCCCCATTCTGATAAATAATTGATCCATCAACGCCCCTGCAGTGAAACAAAGCCTTAAGGGGCCTTATCAGGAATGGTGATTCATCTGATAAGCACTCGCCTCTTAGAGGAGATGATGGTAATTTCTGCCCTTCACTATCCCTATTTGCCCTTATTTACTTCTTCAGTCCTTCGCACGGCGAATTGTATTGTGCCGGCCTGAGGTTTGCATTCATTTCCCTCAACTAAAGCTGTCCATCTACGATCTGGGAGTGAACACTTTGCGGAAATCCACGCCCAGGACTGTGGCGTGTGTTTTTCAGTGCTTCCATTGGTTTTCCGGTCTTTTTCAACGTTTTTAATCAAGCTTTGCTTTTGATTTGCTTTGGCTTGAAGCACGAGTAAATCGGGAGAATCCTGTCGTGTATGTTCAAGCTTAATCGCAAGGAAAATATTCGGAGTGAAACACACACATGCGAAGAACCTCTATGGGACTGTCAATCAGGGATTCCACGATTGGAAATCTAATTTCTATGCACCCCTTTATTTCGATTTAATCTGTTCTAATCTCGATTTGAAAGGGCCGCGCCTCGATAAGGAGGAAATCGAATGGATGATGAAAAGCTCGCAGCAAGAAAAACGCACTTAATCAAGAAAAATCCAGGAGAGTCGTAAATTTTAAGCGTTTCGGGCGAGTTAATGAAGGAACTGTTTTATCTTTGGGCACATGCCTTGTTTCAGTCCCTAAAGGGGCGACTTATTTTTAAATTAGCGGTTTTGATGTAGACGCGGATTTTCTAATCTGTTATTAATGTGACCAATCGCTGTTTTATGCCGCAATTTTATGTACATTTGGAAGGTGAACTGGAATGTCTTCAAAGCTTGGGACTACTTAAGGGCAAAAGTCTGAGGACGGTTTTCTCCTTGCAATATTTTCTAAACAATTTGCGCAAAAGTGCAAAATTCGGAATTTTTGAGTCGATGGCTATCAGAAAGGTTTTCTTGCGTTGGTATCTGCAGATTTTAGTCAGGGGCGTCACATGCAGCAGGTCTTTGCGTGAAAATGAACACTAACTTTTTTGGTTGCAATATTCAATAACTGTCGAAATCGAACTGGTAAAGTGCAATAATTTTTAGGCAAAAAAGTCCTCCTATCGCAATGCACGATTGATTGAATGGTAGGCCTTAAAATCCATTAAAGTAATTAAAAGGTTTTTAGGTCAATTTGATGCTTTTGTATAGTGGGTGCATTGGCTTCGAAAAACGGATTTTTCCCGAAAACGATCGATTTTAACCAAATGAATCATGAACATTTCTTTGCCTAAAAATCTTTCTTTTTGGTAATTTGATATTAAAAATTAAAAAATGCAGCACACAAATAGTTGGGGAAATTTTTAGTCATGAGATCGCCCGTATGTGACGCTCCTGACTAAAATATGCAGTTATTTACACTTTGCTCATTGCCTCTTGTCAACAAATGCAGAATTTCATACAAACAATTTAGAAAATGCGGAAAAAACCATCTTTTGAGCGTCTTTTTCGGGGCTTCGGGGCTTCCAGCCACCTTTTGTGAGTAATTTTCCTAGTAATTTTCTAAAAACTTTTTCTACTATATAAGTCTCTACAAGCCGCTGTAAAAAAAATTCCATTTGGAAAAAATTAAAAAGGCTAAAAATGCTAAAAATCCACACACGCAACTGCCAATTGGAAAGTCGTTGGCATAGACCAAAAAAAAATTAAGAAAAATAGTTCAAACTTCGAAAACATCATAAATTCCCTACTAAAATTGACTAAAAAACCATTATTTATTGATAGGAAAAATTAAATTATAAAAACAACTGATAACCTGCAACCAACTTAATCTAGCCAACGCTCCTATTTACCGACAAATTCCTATTGTTTTCAAGGCATCAGCACCGATTTTCACCATTTAATTTCAATGTTCAGATGGCATTTTTCCTCAATTACCAATTTGAGAAGACAATTGAAAGGCTGGCGATTTTACTGAGTATAATCGCCGTAATTTTTCAAGTGCATTCAATGCCGGATGCGACTGACTAATCAATTTCTGAAACGTGAAATTTATTGAAAACTGAAGGATGTAAAGCTGACCATTACCTCACCTTACACCGCTGTACGTAAAGATTAATGTGGATGGAAACGTCAGTGGCTCATTTGCCGATGTGAGTAATTTATGGCTCGGGGAAGAAGTAAAATGATTCGTTATTTTACCAAAAAAAAAAAATGAAAACAAAAATAAATCGCACAATCCGAGATGATGGTTTTATGTGATGCGGCAGTTGTTACATGTACCGTTAAAGTTTTAATGAATTCAGTTGCATTTGGCTGTTAAATATGTAAAGGATTATACAGGGATTTTTATTAGAAATTCTTTTAGTTTGAATTTTTTATAGGTTCATCCGGAATTGTTACTCTGAACAATTCTCCGATGGTCCTGCTAATTTGTCCCTAATGGCTTTGTTAAAATGTGAAAAATTTCACAAATTTTCCTGCAAAAAATTGCCGATGTTTTACAAAAGGAAGTCTTTCTTGACTGTTTCGCGGTGTTGTTCCTACCGATAGTGTGATTTTCTTAACTGAAAACTTCTTTAGTTTACGTACATATTTGCCGAATGTCACTAAATCCGAAGCGTTTTTAAACGTGAATTAATATCTGAAATAATCCACTAAGAACACAACGTGATTGGTTTCTCGGTTTACACTAACGAACATCCACACAGCATATTGCAAGACACCTGACTGGCAGAATTATGCAAAAATATGCCCCTGTAAACAGTAATTTTGCCATTATTTTTTTCGACACATGGCTGCATATAGAAAATTATGG